CTGCTGGGTTGGAACCGGTCAAGGCCGCCGAAGGACTTGAGATGGGTCGGAGAGCGGCGGAGGAGGTGGCTCCCGACTGGGTACTAACAGACGTCAAAGGGTTGAATGTGACAGTCCGTTGATTGCGTAGAGCGGGACGGGATGGCGACTCGCTGGGGGAAGTATGCTGGGGCAGTAAGGGAGACGACTCGCTCGCTGTGGTCGCCATGGTTCAGTCCTTTGACAGGGAAGCAGGTCGTACAAGAGGGAGGGATTGGAAACAGATGACAAGAGCCTGTGAGGTTCTTCACGGACTATAGAGGGGGGAAGACGGAATAGATGAAGCTGAGAAGCCAGCAAGTGGTGTGTCCTCAGAGACGAACTTAACCAGCCCAACCGTCTGGCTCTCCGGGTTTGCATCATCGTTCTCTGGCTGGCTCTCCAACTGGCAACCTTGGGAGCTCTCCAGCGACTCCACCTGCGCTTGCTTACTAAGTTAGTTTCGCCTGCAATCATGCACGTTACTTCCTGCCGAGCAAAGCTCCGTACTTGGTATCTACTCGGCACGCCTCTGCATATGCAAAAGGACAAGAAACCACCAATTATCTATATACGTGGGACGGATTAGCAACAAGTCCATTGATCCACAGCAAACGGTGGTCGCACCACTGACCATCTGTGGTAACGTCCTTCCCAGGGTTAAACTACGAGGCTAAATATACACGACTGCTTCAGAAAACCCGTTTTTGACCCCCAACCTTTCCCTCCAAAATGATATCGAATAGGTCAATCAGTAGTAGTATGTCTCATCGGGTGTGCGACCACGAATGTAAGCTGGCTCGCTTCCACGGACGTAGATATCCTCAAAAAGAATCTTTTCCGTCGGGTCTGGAGGTGGCATCTTTTCGGCCTCGGCAACCTCTGCATCAACATCCTCTCGCGCCTTTTTATCAATCTGCTTGAGCTCATCTTCTGTGCACACTCCCCAGTCCAGGATCTTCTGCTTGAGCCCTGCAATGGGGTCATTGGTTGATCGCATCCGTTGAATTTCCTCTCTGGTTCGGTAGGTTGTACCTGGGTCTGACATGGAATGGCCACCATATCGGTACGTGACATATTCGAACACCAATGGTCCCTTGTCACTGGCCGTGTATTCCTTGCCGTACTGAACGGCGGCCTTGACGGCGAGAACGTCCATCGCATTGATCTTCAGACCGGGGATGTATTGTCCTCGCTTGTAGTACTCGGTCAAAGCGGACGATCGAGCGGCCGAGGTACCCATACCGTATTTGTTGTTCTCGCAGCCAAACAAAACGGGAAGGTTCCACAGCTTGGCCATGTTGAAAGCCTCAAAGACTTGACCCTGGTTGGAAGCGCCGTCGCCGTACAGAGTGATGGTAGCGGTCTTACTGCCAGTGTACTGGTGCGCAAAGGCGATACCAGCACCAACAGGGACTTGGGCTCCAACAATGCCATTACCACCGTAGAAATTTGGAGCGAACATGTGCATCGAACCTCCTTTCCCGTAGGCGATGCCCTCTCGTCGCCCAAGGAGTTCACCAATGATGGATTTGACGGTGCCACCACGCATGAGCGCAAAGCCGTGGCATCGGTAGGCCGTGATGATAGCATCCTGGCGGGTGATTGCGTGTTCGATACCCACAGCAACGGCTTCCTGACCGGTTGACAAGTGGCAGAATCCTCGAATCTTCTTCTCCTTGTACAGTCTATCGGCCGCCATTTCCATACGACTATTGCGAGTGTCAGAAGGTGTATTGCAGCATTCTCCGCTCACATCCGACTCACCGTATTGCCACCATGTCATAGTACATCTGTTTCAGCTCCTTTTTCGTGGTGTCAAGTGTGTACGAGGGAGGATCGAGGTTGTAGGTTTCGAAACTCTCGTCGGAGAGCTTGACTGGGAAGGGTTTATCATCTTCCTGCAGAGGGACTGTCAGTTTCTCCTCGGACACAAATGAAACCGAAGAGGGAGAGGGTGCGCCTTGCCTCCGGGACATCGTCCTTTTCTGCGTGAGAGCTCGCGGCGTCAGTGGTGACGCTCCGTCGAGCAAGCTGGTAGGCTTGTCTCTTTGGCAGCGACTGCAGGCCGAAGCCTCTTAGACAGGCTCTTGACAGCATCTCTGAATGGGTGAAAGGAGAGAAGAAGAGATGCAACGAATTCAATGGGGCGGCCGATGAAGAGAAGTGGATGGGAGTTCTGCTTAGCTGGTGCTCGTATGTTGGGAGGCCGAAAGGAGCGCTAGTGTCATCCAGCGGACCTCAAAAAAGCCAAAAATTGGGATTCCGTCGCCGACACGCAAATGGCCCCGGTGTTGCTGCTGCTGCTTTAACGATTCACCAATGTCTCGAGACCCCTACGATCAACACACGAGATCCGGTATACCTCGTAGATAATAAGAACTTGCAAGTCGTAGACTCATATTACCAATTGCTGCGCCTAGTAATGGAATTCCTGCCTGCGTTGCACCTATCCCGATGCCTCGAACCTCAATTCCATGTCTGTAAGAATGCTTCCTCAAAGAGACGAGGGTATCACAGTCGCAAACAGTGTTCCCTCAGCCCATTTCCACCGTCCCGCCCAACGTTGATCAGCTTTCAGTAGTAAAGGTTCATGGAGAACGTCACGACGTTTCTCATTTCGCTCATGCAGACAAACGATATGTCTCTCATCCCCAAACGGTTTAATATGCACCTCCAGGGCCTACCAATCCAGGCTGAGCACCGTACCCTCCAGAAACTCCGCCCTGATGTCCCAGCTGTCCGGGTTGCTGCATTGTTGAGCTAACATGAGTCCTACCGTGTCCGGCGTAGTTTGGCAGATCCGAAAACCACGGATGCCTGAGAGCGTCTTGTGCACTGATTCTGTTCTCTGGTCTGAGCTGCAGCAACTTCCCCAGCAGATCAAGGCCTAACTGATCAATCTGTGGCAAGAGAATTGCCAACGATTGCGTGGCGTAAGATGGAAAGTTGCTCTTGTACTCGGGGAGCTGGGAGATGCCAGGCCAGGTGCGCTCTGACGGCGTGCCCATCAGCCTGAAAATTTTTTGTAGTTGGTCCTCATTCGTCGTCCCTGGAAACAAAGGTCGGCCAGTGTACATCTCGGCCATGATGCAGCCCGCAGACCAAATGTCGATGCTCGTGTTATAAGTCCTCGACCCCAAAAGCACGTCTGGTGCTCTGTACCACAGTGTGACCACCTCATTGGAAAAGGTATTTACTGGAATTCCAAATGCTCTTGCCAGACCGAAATCCGCCAGCTTCAGTTGGCCTTTCGTGTTTATCAACAGGTTTTGAGGCTTCAGGTCGCGATGTAGGACTCGGTTCTCGTGACAGAATGCAGTGCCTCGGAGTAGATCTTGCATGAATCTCTTGATGGTGACATGGTCGAGTTGGCCCCTATCCCCTCGTGCGTCCATATACTTTTTCAAGTCCTTGTCCATGTATTCGAAGACCAGCATGAGCTTGTTCTCCGTGTGTATGACATCGTGCAGAGTGACAATGTTTTCATGCTTGAGCTCCTTCATCAAACTGATTTCTCGGATCGCAGTCGACGGTGTGCCTTCTTCGGAGTCAAGGTGGATTTCTTTGAGGGCAACGAGTTCACCCGTCTGTCGGTTTCGCCCCTTGTAGACGGTGGCGTAGGTCCCCTCACCGAGCTGAAGTTTTGAGTCAGCAAGGGCGACTTCCTTCTGGGAAAACCAGGACTTGTCGACGTACCTTTTCCAGCTGTTGGAATGAACTAGGATGCCTCCGATCCATATCTGTGTGTAGTGGTCGGTCTGGTTGGGTTACTCGTCTGAAAGGCGGGGTACCGCCAGGGAACAAAAGTGAGGCTGGCGAGATGACTCGTTCGGCGAGCTGTTGCGCAGTGAGCCTCTGAGGTTGTTGGTGGGTTCTCTGCTGAGTGGAAGCCTGTGACTGGGTTTGGGAATGGTGTGTCGATGCTGTCGAAGAGACTGAAGTACGATGAGGAATAGATGTGGAACGAGAAGACATGACAAGGAAACGGGGAACCCAGGGCAGGCCCAGAAAATGAGAGGCAGCGCCTTTAGGATTTTACTGGTATTGGTTCTCGCCAGCGACGATCCTCAGTCTCGCCTCTACGCATCAGGCCAAACTCCAGTAAAACGCAAATCATTTGCCACGAGCGGCTAGAAGGAGTATGCCAGGGATATCGGTGCCTGGCTATGGGTTACACATCGGGGACAACTGGCTCTACTGCTGCAGAGGAAAAGCAAAAAAAACCTCTTCTGTGTCCGCAGACCCTGCAAGATCCGGGCGCCTGTCATGCCCCGCCATTCGCCTGTTACTTCGTCCAGACCAGGCATTTGTAACTGGCCAAACCCGTTTCCCCTTGGTCTTGCCTCTGTCCGGTGACTAGCCAAAACTGCGCACACCGCACACCGCACACCACACAAAAGATCGAGAATTCAATTACCTCGGCGCTTCCGTTTTGCTATGTATAGACATGCACACAGCCGCCCTGTTTCAGCCTCGTACGCCTGTCATCGACGGACAAGCAAACAAGCTACGGCACAAGTTCACTACAAGACAAGCACACTGATTCACATGCATGTGGGTATTTGTAGGATTATGACATACTTATTATGTCTACATTACAACTCTGTCCAGACAGCGCCGACCAGCGGCCTAGCCCCCCGGACGTTCATCATCTATTTCAGCTGGCTCGCGCCAATACGGACTCTTTGGTCGGCACTGTAGCCGTTGTCGTCTCTTATACGCTGGATCCTTTGAATGCAATGAGATTGCAGACCTCCGCTTAGAACAAGTCGTCGAATCGGTCGAAAAATAAACAAGTAGTCGTGAAGTTGCTGACGGTATCTGTGAGAGGGGTATCATCGAAACAAATCATTCATATGCAACTCTCTTTTCAGTGTCATTTCGTGGGCAAGTCGTCTCGTGCACTGTACTTCGTTCGTAACGCCGCCAGGGCAACTATAGTGTGGAATAAATCAACGTGGTGTCTAGCTCGTTCCAAATCATGCTGTGCGTGGATTGCTGAGTGATGGCGGATGCTGTGTCTTCCCCCCTGCTGTGACCAGCGTTGGGACCACTGGCTCACTCATTGTTCGCCGACGTGACGATTCGACAGTCGGTCGTTGAGCATATGCAATGAGCATCTTGAAGCTCGATCCCCGACCTTTACATTCCGCCAGGACATTTCTGTCGGCGAATATGCTTCTGGCGAGGTTGCCATCGCTAATGACGCTGGCTTCAAAACAATGCTGCCACCATGTTCGTGCCGTCCTCGACACGATCTTTCCGATACGAAGATCCGCATTGTCTGAACGATCGGAAAGAAGGTCGTTCAGAGAGAGGTTGGCACCTCTGCGACCTTGGCCGAATGTCATTCGCGGAGACGCATCTCCCGGACGTGTGTCACCGGATCCTCGCTTTGGTAACCCGTCCGAGCCTCGACTTGAGCGCGATGACGACGACGAATCGGAAGATCCTGAAGGACGCCCTGCGACAGGTACCCCTACTACGCAGCGGCTGATATTTGTGAAACGCCGTGAGCCTAACACGCTCTGGACATTGTCGATGATTGGTCGCAGGCTGATCTGTTTATCTGCCGTCGTCATTCGATACTTGAGCTCTCGGACAGCCCTCCGAGTCTGCACGCCCATGTTGACAATGTCAAGATCTAGCAGCATTAGCTCCAGATAGCCGCCTGGTTCTAATACCCGCCTGCATTCAGAAACAATGTTCTTCATCTTTGCTTCGGCCATTGCGGGAGGAAAGCGGAGGACAACCACGGAGAAGAAGTCCTGTGGGAAAGGAAACTTTTCGTAGAAACTCGGGATTTCGGCTCGTCGATGATTGTCTGGTGCATGCTGGGTCGCTTTCGAAGTCTTCATTCCTTTGGGTGTAACCTTCTCTTTGAGATCGTGGACATATGCCTTTTGCGCTTCATAAGTCACTGCACAATATATTGACCAATCTTCGTTGCCTAGACCGTCAATGACAAGGATGTGACGCTCTGGAGATTTCAGGATATCATCATGAGCAGGCGAGAATAGAACTCGTCCAAATGATAACCACTTTGACACCATGAGCGATGCGTAGTGCAGCTCTGACTGTGCCGCTGGGTCCTTGCCTCGTTCAACAACGTCCAAACGAGCAACGTTCTCTTGATGAGATGATTCCGGGGCCAGCTCAGGTGCACTGATTGTTGCCGTCAGACGCTCGAGGGAGGGATTTGCCGTAGATGTGCTCAAGCGCTCCGAGAGTTTAGTGCTTTGTCTTGAATGATTTTCGTACTCGCTTAGTATATCGCGAATTGAGAAAGGTGATACAGGGTCGCTTGAATGATGCAATGCCGAGACGATTCTGGACCGGCGCAATCGAATATCCTCCCCTACGACGCGTTCAGCCATTGTTGGTGGTGGAAAGACTACTGGAGGGGTAGCTGATGTCGCCAGAGTCTGTGAGTAGACGGGTCTTCTCATGCCAGGAACGGGAAATTCTGCTAAGATAGGATCGGATCGTTCGTCCTCGGGGTGTTGGTCCAACGGGGTCGGCCTTGGAAGAGACTCGAGATCCACCAGTCCTGGTTTACCTCGCCGTGCCAGAGCCTTTACACTTCTTCTGCTTCGAGAAGGTGACATAACATGGTCAATGAAATCGTCGTATTCATTCCAGACATCATCGAGGCTGGGGCTGCCAGCTGGATAGACATCTTGAGCTGCAATAGGTCTTCCAGAAATGCCACCAGCAGGTATACTTGGAATCAGAGGGGGTCCAAGCACACTTAAAACTCCCTCAGAGCTGCTGGATGCAGAGACTTCTGATGGTTGCCTCGACGGGAATCTCAGGAACTCCGTCTCTCCTAACACTGGTGCACTAGGAAGTTTGGTGGCTTCATCCACTGCAGCGAATGGTCTACTTGGTAGTACATCCGTACTGATCTGGAGTGGCATAGACAGCAGGGGGTCAAAGGGTTCCGACGGATTGAATGGACTTTCAGAGGGAGGGTCCCTGACAAATGGCTGAGAAAAGGAGGCGCGACTCGGTTTGTGCTGCCTCTCGTTCCTCGGTACAACGGGTGGGATCCTTCCAACTCGGATCAGGCGCGGCTGTTTCTGTGGCGGCTCTTCTGTTTGAATCGAAACGTGCTCAGCCTGGCTCAGCTGCGGCACTGCCGGTGGCGACCTCGAAAACGGTTGTGGGGGCGACATTTGTACAGTTCGGGAAAAGGTGTCGTCCCCATGTATGGATGTTTGCGGTTCATCTTCTGCAAAGTCTGCCTCGTAACCGCCGATCAATGGACTCACCGCTGGTGAATCAACGACCTGCGCAAGGTAGTCTCCAACATACTCAGGTGGATTGACTTCACTCTCAGAATCCATCATGGCATAGTACGGCATAGGCCGAGAGACAGGAATAGCGGATATGCTGACTGGCATCTCCTCGGGCGAAGATGAAATTGCGCCGACACGTCTCACGGGTTCTGGTTCGGTCCCTCTCTTTCGAAAGATATTCCACCGAAGCTTCCGAGTCTTCTTATCCTTCGATTTTTGGAGCCCGGTATCGCCTCGGCTGGGATCAGTCGTTGTGCTAGGTGTCGAGGTTGGAAAAGCGGAAGAACGACTGTCGTCTTGGCTGTTGATATACAATGGCGCCGAAAGTCCTTCGGTGCGAATTGATGTTGGGAGATTGAAGCTCTCTGGATCATTGCCAAAGCGTTGTGATCGTCGCAGTGCCAGTGTAGGAACACTATTCTGGCTTGATAGCCGGTCCTGAGCTCTCTGTGGACTGTCTTCGACTGACTGTCGACCAATAGACGTCTGCGACTGCGATGCGGTTCCCCATGTCTCCACAACATTAGCAGGTGGAGCAGAAGAGCTCTCGTATGCGTCAAGTCGAGTTCCCGAAATGCTCTTCATACTACTGCCAGAGCCACCGATGATAGGGATGGGTTTCATTCGACTCGCTGCAAAGTCGTCCAGATCGGATTGGCTGCTTCGATTGTGGCGGCTGCTACTGCGGCTCTCCTTGCCCTTGGAGGAGAAAAGAGGGATCCTTCTAGTGCTGCTCACGGACCTTTCACTTTCGCTTCCTCTGGCTGAATTGCTCTCTTCAGATGTCTTGCGGCCCCTTCTCCCATATTTTCCGTATCCTTCGTGGCCTGTCCCAGCAGCAGGCCCTCTGCGTTGCAGCTTGCGGGGGGATTTTTCAACTTCGATGGCAGGAGACTTGGTTCGGCGACCAAACAGTCCGAAGCGAGAGAATTTGCCTGCGCGACCTGTTGAGCTTTGCGATGCTAAGTCCGGATTTGGAGGGGTCTTTGGACGACCTTCCATTGCCGCGGCCATCTCCTGTATTCTAGGAAACTCAGTCGGCCGAGATTGAGTCTCGAGATTCTGTTGTGTTACATCTGGATGTCGGCGTGTGGAAGGTGCGCGATTTCTCTGATCACCGAAGATGTCTACACCTTGGTGGTTTTCGCTCCGCGGTTTGTCATGTAAAGACTGCTGGAGATTGGCATGAGCACGGACAATCGGGCGGTGCTGGAGGGATTGCCCAACATTTACCCGGTCTAGGTAGCCTCGAGCTGCCAAAGGGCTGCGTTCTAAATCGGATAAAGAACGTGTAGGCTCCTGGTCCGGTCTCCCACGTTGCTTGTCGCTTTTGCTGCTGCTCCTACTTAGTGAATGTTTCGCGGACGAAGACCTTGGAGGTGGGGTAGGGGCTGGCGTGTTCAAGGGTGTTCTCTTCCTGCCGGACGACTTCACCGAGTCCTTGGAACTTGCCAGCCATTCACTTGCGACCGGTGGAGGAAGAGACTCTGGGAGAGCCGGCATCTTGGGAGGTTTTTCGCGCTTGGCAGCAGGAAACGGGACTGTCTGAGACCGCTTTGCAGGACCTGTCACGGGAACTTGCTGCACAATACCAGGAGATGCTGAAGACCAGGATGTAGGGGTTGTCGTTGTGGTGGACACACTCCATGGACTCGGAGAATTGGAAAATCGAGTTGATGGACTGCTAATGGAGCTTGCAGATTTGTTGTTGAAGGCTTGTTGTTGTCTTGTTGACGAAGCTGCAAGAGCTTGCAACTCTGGTATTAATCGAGGTGGCAGTTCGCCTGCGCGAACAGATGAATTCGCTCTCGGCATCACTACGCCAAAGATCGCATCCTGATCAACATCCAAAGAAGATTGGACATCACTCAAGAGACCTGGTGGGTAAGCCACTCTCCTATTACCAGAGGCGTCGTCTTCCCATCGTGATCCCGGGTACGACTCCATGAGCAAAGGAACCTCCTGCGACATTGAAGCCGATCGTGTAGTCGGCCTGCTCATTCCAACAGAGGCGCTGGTGTTCTTGAGAGTGGCAACAGAGCGCTGAGAAGGATTTCTTGTTGCTGGTCGTGGGATGGCTGTTGGTCTTTGACGAGGCTTTTCACTAGGACTCGCCGGAGACTCATTTGGAGGAGGTGAGCGCGAAGCTGGGCGTGTGTTCGTGGCCGATCGTGTCAAGTCGGGATGACGCCCCCCATGACGAGAACTAGGTGTTCTGGTGGTTCGTGGCACGGTAGCATCTCTGGTTCTGGAAACACCATATTGGGTGTCATACGTTGGATTTCTGTGTGACATATCCTGTATCGATTGGGAACCTCCTTGCCGGCCTCCCTGATTGCACACAATGATGCTGAGCACGTTGACTCATTCCGTTCCCATCAACTATCAAGATCAGACATTGAACCGCCACGTTTTCGCAGGTGTCTAGGCGCAGCGTAAGAGCAGATCTTCTTGTTGGAGGTATACAGACGAAGTGGGAGGAACTCAAAGGTGGATTTCGTCGATAATTCTTTTCAGAATGACTCAAAGCATATGTCGCACAAGCCTTTCATACCCGAGACAGTGTGATGAATGCTCAGAGTCTTGTTGAGTGGCCGTGCGGGAATAGGATAGAAGTGGGAAATCTTGATCGATAGGATACGCCACAGAGGCCTGTATAGTCTGATCGGCCACGCCGAGGGCAAAAAATAGTAGCCACAACTGCAGCACGTGATACGGCAGACGATGATCCTGGTGCCGTTCACACAAGAGGACGCGTGTACTATATACAAGTAAAAGTCCAGTGAGAAGGGTAAGAGAATGGAAATCGGAATGGGAGACAAGGTCCTTTTTCTGGGATGATAAACGGCCCGAGAGGGAAAACGGCAGCATGAGACCAGGCGGATCTTACAAGCATCTTGTAACGACAGAGAAAGCGGCACAAGCGAATTGAGTTAGTTGGGGCACAAAACGAAAGGACGCTGGCCCAGCGTTAAAGGGACACTCGCTCGCTCCAGATGGCTGATGCTGATGGCTTGCTTCATGATCAGAGGGATTTTCCACCATGCACGGCCTTCCAAGCTATCCAACGGGGCGGGGTGGCCCACCAACTGGACCGCGGGTAACTCGTGTCCATCACCTAGAGTCAACTGTGTTCTGGTTGTAAGGCGTCAAGAGACCTTGGGGCTGTCCAAGTCCAAGGCCATCTTTTGGTCCTGATAGGTCTTATATCTGGGACGGGTCTCCATCATGGGTCCTCCCGCGCAGTCTTGGAGAAGCCGGACCAGGGTTGCGGCTGACATGCCTGGGCAAATACGATCAAATGCACTCTAGGCCTCGTGGGGAAACCGTCCCAGGAGTCAAACCCGGAAAACGACTTGAGACTGTGTACTTCGTATGTACCGATCAAATGGACGAGCAGGCATGCGCAAGCGTGACTCGCTAGATGTCGTGCGTGGTGCTTTGACGAGGTCATGTGCATTGGTATGACGACCAATGTGGGTGGCATGTGCGAGGATAGCCGCATCATAGGCAGAATTCAAGGTTCCCGCAGGCGAGGCCGATGCCAGGCTGTCATCAAGGTCGCGAAGTGGGAGTTCTGGAGGTCCATCATGTGGCGACGCTTGGATCTGCGCCGGTCGAGAATTGACTGCTTGGAAGCAGCTCACAAGTGACTGGCGACCTCGTATTGTCACAATGGAGTAAAATCTGATCCAGCAGGGGAAAAGTACCTTTGCTGAAACCAGCAAAGAGGCCGGTGGGCAAAAGTTGCGAAAAGGATGAGAACCAGTTGACGGGGTTTGAGAGTCGAAGAGCGGCCACGAAAGTGGGGGTGACGCATACTCGTACCAGTAGGTACCTACGGACAAAGCCGAGTCATTGGGGCGGCCACTGGGGCTTCCCTTCCTACGGGTGGTGGCAACACTGCGGGCTGAATGAGCTACTTCCGTAGATGCCCAGCTAGCCTTCTGCATAGCCCATTAGCCCTAAAGTCATGTCTCTCTCTGCGCTCTGGATAGGTGCCCCGTCTCCCCCACTGTACCGAGGCTCGGGCCACTGCCAGAGCCCCGTCCGTGCTGGAGAGTGCACCGTCGTTTTCGTCCTGTCCTCTGATATTGCGAAGGCTTGCTTGAACGGCCTTTCTATGCCAAAACAAGCCTCTGATTAAGACAATCTGCGCTTCCCAAGAAAAAAGCCTCAAACACGCAGGTCGGGTGAGGTATTGACAAGACTGACATACGCCTCGTACTGTCAACTAAGGCCTTGGACCTTCCGTGTGCGCCCCATTACGATCGACCCAGACTCGTACGACTTTGTGCAAGACTCAATCTTCATCATGACGAATGTGGTCAAGGACAAGGTCACCACCACGGAAGATGACGGCAACGTGCCTGGCTTTACCACACTGCTGTTGATCTTCCAACACCACATGAAACGCATCCGGCTTGTGTGGCAATGTGGCTGATTCGGTAATGGTTTGAGAGCATGTTCATCACTGCAACTCCTGCATGGAGTCACAGTTCTCTAACATGTTCCTGCAGGTCAACAATGCAGCAAGCAACTCCTTTAGCGCTCTGCATGCCTTAGAACGTTGTGGATGGCGCACGCTCTATCAGCCCTGCTACTCGTCAAGCGATGGCTTACAAAATCCTCCGAACTCGAATTTTCCAGACTTCTTTTTACCTGATTCTCCCTCGCGCATCCGCTATTTTTCTTACCTCGCGACCAATTATCATCTAGAGATGGGCAAATATCTCTGCTTGTGGCTGATCTTGAGACCCGGGACGTTTGGCAGGATATGCTCCAGAGGAATGTCTGGCGAATCCCGCCCGCGTGCCCACCACGTTCCTTGTGGAGGTTTTCATGCTTTCCGTTGGTGCAAAATCTCCGATCAAGGCCAGTGGACACGGTATTATCCCTGCACTCTCAACTATGAGCAGGTGTATCCGATCACCTGATACGCGGGATGGAGTTGGGGTTTGGCTGGGTTGGAGACATGGCCACCTCGTGTAAGGTTTTTGCGTGCCAAAGACTTCCCTTTCCCAATTTTTGAGCTTCGTAGCTTCCCAGTGGAGAGTGTGTGTGATCCAAAGCCCCTGAACCGATCAAGACCTATCAAATCCAGTGCTTTTCTCTCAACATCCCGGTAAACCATCAATCCCTCCAACTCCCGCCATGGCGCCCCAAGGAGTTGTGTTCCCCGTCGAAGGAGGTTGTGACTGTGGGGAAGTGCGTTACTCACTACAGACAGAGCCGATGATTGTTCACTGTTGCCAGTGAGTGTCAGAACATATCACGTCTTGCGAGTTGTCCCCGGCTGAAACGGCACAGCTGTCGATGGTGTCAAAGAGAGACTGGGGCTTCCTTTGCACTCAACGCCATGATTGAAACCGACCGACTGAAACTCCTGAAGAATGAACCTGAATGGATCACCGTGCCGAGCGAAAGTGGCGCTGGGCAGAATATTGCACGTTGCCCAAGATGCAAGATTGCTGTATGGAGTGTTTACCTCGATAACACAGCCAATGTAAAGGAGGGCATCCGCATTGTTCGTGTGGGGACCTTGGACAACCCAGACCTACTCCCGCCAAACGCTCACATCTGGGCTTCTGAGAAGCAACCATGGATCCTTCTCTCGGATAAAGCCCCCGTATTTGATCGCGGCAGCTATACCAAGGGGGAAGTGTGGTCCAAGGGGAGTCTTGAAAGGTATCGGGCCGTAGAAGCACGCGACGGCACTACCCAATAGGACATGCCAATCATGGCCTTCAAATAAAGCGAACCTCCTTTCAGACATCGATATGCCAGGTTGGGTGGCTGGCTGTTTCAAAGTTCGGAGAACTGCTAGTGGTATACATCTGATACACATCCGTAGGTTATCAGTGCGTGCGCCGTCTAGGTTCGGTCAGCTTGGGACAGACACAGATATGCCTCACTCGGCCATGCTGCAGTGGATTATGTCAATACTTTGCTAAGATGAAACAAACCAATTCCCAAACGAGTGGCCCTCAGTCACTCTCCGTGTCAAGCTTCGTCGAGCATCTCTTCTGACTTTGGATACCTAGCCAGCCCTTGAGGGGAAAAGAGAAAATTCTGGTGCGTTGATGCGTTGGCAACACTGCCAGCCCGATTTGGTATAGCGGGACGTTTTGGGGTCGACTTCAGCCTTGGGCCCGCCCGCCGGGGACCGTGCCAGCTGAACCTGAGGCTGAAAACAAGGCTAAGATCTGATAATAATAATCTTGGTAGCTTCTGTTGGAGGCCAGATTCTCACAGAGCGAAACGTAGTCTTTGTGCTCGGTTCTCTTTCATTGCCCAAAACGGACCACGATTGGCACGTTTTGTCCAACCCAAATCCGTAAAGAGCCACGAGGTTTACTCAAAACGGGATGTCAGACAACGTACTACTACACCCAATTCAAGATTTTCAGCGCGGGTACAGACAGATGAGTGTTTATTCTCGGTCTGGGTCAACATGCTTGCACACCACTCCAATTGACAGATTAGAGCCAGAACAATACCCCGTCCTGTAGGATTCCCTCAGCCAATCCTCGATGGAACATCCTTTCCCGTCAAAACCACCACTTATCAAAAGACGTTTTGTCAAAACTGTTGACGACTTCATTCTCATGTGAATCTTTGCGGGACGAGTCGGTCGACGTGGTCCAACCAACTGAGAGTTGCTGGCTAGCGGGCCCAGGGAAACATGGGACATCAGACCCGCCATTCATACATCTCCAGCACTTGTCCCGTGGCCTGCTGATAGAATCTCTCGGTCCTTGCTGGAATGACGGAGAAACGGAAGAGGATTGGTTCAGGTGAGAACGAAAAGGAGGGCCTCAGTAATGGCCGAGCAAACCACAGCTAACAGCAAAACGCCCTACTCGTAACAAAATCAGCACCAGAATTGTGCGTGCCATTGGTGCGAGAAGAGTATCCAGCTTTAGTCATGGCATCAGCTGTTCTACCCTCTTCCTTGACCTGAGGACTGG